TTACACTAACATTCCATCTGGTAAATTGCTTTCAAATTCCTTGACTTCCTTCCAGTTCAAGCTGTATTGTTTTAACCCTTGTAAGAAAGCTGGCATTGAGGTCTTATCCACCACTTGTCTACTAGGCCATTTCTGTAAAGAGTTTGCCAGAATTTAAGTCAATACATAAACTAGATACTAGAACTTTAATACAAAAAAATTATTTTGCTTGTCATTTCTTTTCAGCTGATAGTAGTAGAACTCTGAATATGGATTCCACAACAATGACCCTACCTATGTCTGATCCAACTGCATGGGCTACAGCAATGAATAATCTTGGAATGGCACCACTGGGAATTGCTGGACAACCAATTTTACCTGGTATGTTATTTTTAATCACCTCACGAGTGCTTCTTTTTATTGACCATGTGGTAATAAATATAACAGTGTGACACAACTTATTTTGAAGTTGACATTTACCAGACTCTGCCTAGAGTGTGCATTTTTGTAATATGAGCTTTATCGCCTGGGTGGCTAGTAGTTACTAGTGTACTCCCTATTGCACTTTGGACAACTGGGGGCATACCTGGTGCAAGATAGGGTCATTGAACATTTAGATATCTCATTGAAATAGAATTTTGGCAAGGAATTACAAAGCTTGTTTAATTTTATAGATCTTTTTAGAGAAGGCAAATGAACACAGAGATGGAAAGAGAACTGACTTAGACATTCATAAAGGAGAGGAAAGGAGATGCTGAGAGACAGCTCAAGGATTATTTTTAACATTGAATACCTATATGTAAATATGTATAAGTATATATTTATATAAACATACACTCATATATATATATGAGTAATACATGAGAGGATGGGTATGGTGGACTAACTCTATCTCCACTAAAGATAAAATCAGTAGAAAAACATCACAGAATCTGAAGGATTTAGTTTAGATAGAAAATCTTCTTGGACAGTCAGACATATTTAACTTTTACAATGGGTTTGTAAAGACATTAGAGAATTGCCATCTCAGGGAGCCTGAGGAGGCTTTTTAAACAGCCTAAACATTAATCTCCCCAGATTCATTTAATTGTGATCCTACTTAAAAACAAAATAGGACCAAATGTACTGTGCCTAACCTAGGAAGTATTTAGAATCTCAGAACCTCAGGCCTGATACCAAAGTTACTGAATCAGAAGCTGCATTTTAGCAAGAAGCCCAGGTGTTTTGCAGGTACACTGAAGTTGAGTAACAGATCAAGAGTGATTCTGCTTTGTCGTGACATTTGTTTATATAGTTAGCTATTCCTCCCCACGAAAAAAATAATTTTAAGATTCCAGCCTAGATTTTAATGTTTATTATTTAATTATAATGGAATATAAACTAAAATGTTATACATTATTTTATAGCTTCATGTGGAGTGATCCTAAGTCACAATTGCTTAAAATCCATCTAAGGTGATGAGACAATCTGGTTTGGCTTAATTTTTCCCAGTTTTTAGCAGTCTTGACCATGTGGGTAAATGCCATATCTCCTCTGAGGCCAAGGGAACTAAATGTTAACTGATATCATATTATTGTAAATTACCATATGTAAGCATAAATATACACTCACAAAGTAAGCTTTAGTACTTAGCCACCTATCTATAAGAAGGAATAGAAAAGGCCTAGGATTGAGAAGAAAAATGCTTCCAAGTAATCATTACAGGCCCAAAGCTTGAGCTGGGAGGCAATAATAGGGCTAGAAAAATGGGATGTTTCCTTAACAGTGGCTCAGAGGGCTGTTTCTACAGAGATAGTACCTTGCTTAGTCCTCAACAACATAGGCCTTGAAGTCAGATTGCTTGGTTTTGAGTCCTTGCTCTGTCTGCCCCAATGTGACCTTGAGCAAGTTACTTGACCTCTTTGTTCCTTCTGTAAAGGAAGTTACTTGACCTCTTTGCACCATCTGTAAAATGGTGATGATTATAACATGTACCTCATAAGATTGCTATGAAGATGGAATAATATACTTAGCACAATGCTTGGCATATATATAATAAGGACTCAATAAAGATTAATTGTTGTCATTATTATTATTAGTAGTAATACTATATGCTCTTTGACATAAAGCTTCCTTTACACTAATATACTTCCTTTAAATGGTTACTAAGCTCCCACTTAAATTGAAAGTATTTGGATGCTATGCAGCCACTGTCAACTCTAATGAGTATCTGTACATCCAGCTCCAACCTAGACAATTGAAACCTCAATGATAGTTTTAATTTCTATCTCTAGCCCCCTTTCCTCACATCTTGTTTTCTTACATACTATAAAGAAATGGCTTTTTTTTTTTTTCTTTTGCAGTTTTTGGCCGGGGCTGGGTTTGAACCCGCCACCTCCGGCATACGGGGCTGGCGCCCCCACTCCTTTGAGCCACAGGCGCCACCCAAGAAATGGCTTCTGTAGAGATCCCTCCTATCTTTTATTCAGTGATCTTGCCTGTCACTATGGTCCAAGGAAAGCTACTCCTCAACTCTTTGGAAACCTGGACTTAGAAATGCTGATAATTAGTTCCATAGTTCCCTTATCTTATTTTTTCCCCTTATCTTAAAGTATATCAGGCAATAGCATTGGGCAGAGCCATACTTTGTACTTAATAAAACTGTGTAAATTGTCCCTTGTGTGTGAACTGGTTTTTTCTCCTCTGTGTTAATTTTAGCAAGAAGGTTTACCATGAGAGTAGAATATGGGTTCTGGATCTAAATTGCCTAAATTCAAATCTCTATGTCATTAACAAGCTGTGAGACGTTTGGCAAGTTACTTAATCTTTATATGCCTCAGTTTCTTCATCTATGAAATAGAGATAATGATAGCACCTACGTTATAGTTGGCATGAGGATTAATGAGTTAATACACATAAAGTCTTAGAATAATGCCTGCATCACAGCAATTCCTCCATTAACTCAGCTATTATATTATTGTTTCAAGTTGATATGTGATGTATGGCTTACAAAAAGTATAATTATCCTTACTTTTAACAATAGTGAAGGACAATGAATGTAGGGGAGAAATTTTTTCCCTAGTGAAACACTGGACAGTGACAGGTGATAACAGTATGTGTCTGACACTGCTAACACCTGCTTATTGTAAAGCTGGTAGGGATTTCCACCGAAATGGAAGGTTGGCACCACACTTCAGTGCTGCCTCCCTTTTTTGCCATGGTCTAGAGAATGGGGTGCCTGCTATCTTTAATGATGTTATGTTTTAACCAAATCTCCCTAATCCTTTCCTCACTCAACCCCCAAGATTCTTTAAAATGGAGAAGGGAGCAAATAAGTCACCCATTGATGGCTCAGTAATTCAGCTACTTTTCTGCCCCTCAGGAAGTGACCTACTGAGACAGCAGACCTTTCTTTGTCCTGTCTCATCTGACCTGTCTATGCCAAGAGTAAAGGCTTTTGGAATTGATGCAAAACAAATGATACATAAGCGTCCTTGATTTCCCTCAGAGAACTCAAATCTTTACTATCATGGATGCTGAGTCTCTTGGACACACACTTGTCATAAAGGCCATATCTGGCATAATTACTATATTCATTGAGTGGAGAGTAGAGACAGGACATCTCTGGAGTTTGGTGTGGAACTCACTTTTAACTACCATGGTGTTATATATGGCTGCTATTCAATACAGTTAATCTACAATGACGATGGCAGATCAGGAGGTCCCATCTGGCTGACAGCTACACTTCCTGCAAGAGTATTTGCTTTGCCAACCTGGTCAGATAAGACTGTTAGTTTTCACATAAAGAAGGGCACCTAAAAAAGTCAGGCCTTCTGGTTAAAGAGTATTGTTCTGTTCCCGTCATCTAATGAATGTAAAAAATGGACCCGTTAAGAGATACTTGTTGACTTCTTTCTCCTTTATTTTCCCTAAATTAAAATATCCTTAGCAGCCAAATGTGAAACCTATAAAGTCCAAAAGGAAAAGAGTCCCTGAGTATGCTGTCTCCACTGTATTAACTATGCCTACTCCATAATGAGAGATATAGGAAAATGTGGTGGACTCATGGACCTTATTCTCAGATCAAAATGTTGCCCATTCTTAAGGAGATAATTCTCAGTGGACACAACAGGTTAACTCTGATGGGAACAGAAAGCAAAATAAGGTTGTATGGCATAGAACACACCACTGCTTTTAGCTCCTCAAGGAGGCCTGGACTTGAGTTTGTATTGTTTTTAATATCTTCCACAAATAAAGTGTGTTTTCAGTGACAAATAAATTGAGATTCTGAACAAGGAGAATGCTGTTCATCATCACTGTGTACTCCTTACAAAGATCCAATAATACGCAAAAATTTTACCAAATTGAATGTTCTCTCCAAAACCAGCTTAAATCCTACCCAGGGGCAGTACTCTAAGACTCCTCATGGAGCATGTCCGTGCCTAGGGATATCTGGTTAAGCCTTCCGAGATGTTGTATATGCTCTCACACCATCACAGTGGCTGGTAGGTAGATCAGGCCATCATTTCGAAGGAAGACCAAGGTGTCATAATTCAGTTTGGATGTGATTAGGACATTACTTATATGAATGTGGATGAGGGTGGTAAGGTGAAAACTCTTGCAGTGTCTTGTGGATATTACAGAAGTATCTGACTTCAACAAAATGCATGAGTGATATGATCTATGTACTGTCATGTTTTTCTTCAAAAACAAGTGACTGAGTACCCACAATTGACTTGGGTACTGGTAACAATGACAAGATAACCTGGGCCATGGTGGACAAATAGGAGATGGTTAACAAAATAGAGCCTGTGTATTGAAGCGCCCACAAAGGCCTGGTCTTACCTTCCAAGGACTACTCCACAATATACAGCCTGTGTACATAAATATTGTGGAGCTGTTTTCATATGGAGGTATTTTAAGCTATTTTAATCCTTTGATAAAGTAAGTGAGGCTCAAGGGCTAGAAAATCTCTGAATAAGGATTGCATGGCCCTAACTAATAGAAATAAATAAATATACAATGATAGGAACAATCATAAAACAAACAGCTCCCATGGAATCTATTAAGAAGGGGCTGGGTGAGGCCTGCTATATGCAAGGTACTGGGTGAAGTCCTGGGGAAAAAGTAGTGAACAAAAAAGACAAAGATTCCTGCCTTCATAGTGACCCCAGTACTTTTAGAGCCCCCATATTCTCTTCCTAATAAAACCTGCTCTCAAGTACAAGCTGCCTCTTGACTGACAACAGCTCAAAGGCTTCCCTTTCATTTTGTTCATTTATTCTTTTATTCATTCATCCATTCATTAAAAATAAATTGAGCTAGATCAAGAGGATCTAAATTTGGCATGGCACACTCTTTGCCTTCAAGCTCTGGTGGCAGAGGCAGCAAAGTAAGTAGCA